TGAATGAGTCTTTGAGCAACCTGGTCTAGTGGAAGGTGTTCCTGCCCATGGCAGGGGCGTTGGGACTAGATGATCTTTAAGGTCCCTTCCAACCAAACCATTCTATGATAATTATTTAAAAAACTGAGCTGTATTTGGATCTGCTATTAGGTTTCTTTGCTTATTAAGGGTAACCAAATCTGTTTTTAGAAAAGTTTTGCATATTTTCCAAATCTCAACTCATAAGGCACTCCTACGTTTGTTATTTCTCCACAAGCAAGAAAAACAACTGAATCAATGGGGAGACCCACCTACTGATCAGCTAGGAACACGAATGGTTGTGGACTGTGAGTGTCCTGGCATTACCTATTGTTGTGCCTTCAGAGTGACCAACATAGTATACATCCTTCTGTCCAGTTTTATTCATGATGAAGTACAGCTCTGCTGGAATATCGTATTTACCCATTTCATCAAAGCTACAGGGGAGAAACACAAAAAAAGGTAGCAGACAATCTGGCTATCACAGTGTGAGTTACTGAAGGTCAGTTTTGTTCATTGTGCCACGCAGGACCCAGTGAAAGATGAGGTTGCAGGCTTTGTCTGCATTCTCGCTTGAGTTGGGCAAGGGGGTAGAGGGATGCAGCTGTACTGCCAGGCTGCTTGATGCATTGGGCTCTCTGCAGAGGAGATGCCAGTTTTGCCTGTCAGTTGCAGCCCTTGGGGAACTGAATTTAATCAGTGCTTTCATTAGCATGGGTTACAAACCACATTTGTCTCTTGGTTTAATTCAGCTGTGAGAGATCAGAGTTTTCTAGACAAGGCTGCTTAGCCTGTTCAAGTTCAAGTTCTTGCTCTCCCTCTCATGGTACTGTCCCCCTTTTCCTCAGCATCCCATTTCATTTCCCAGTGTCTGAAATCTCTTCCCCAGCCAATGCTCCCAACTCTGAGTGGTAGTGAGCATCCTTCTTTGGTTCTTTACTCTGCTTGGTTGGTGTAGACCCTGTTCTGATGCTGGTTTAGGTAAAAGTATCAGGCTGAAGCTATGTAGTACCCTCGGAGTTTCTATCTTGAGTAATTCTCCCTCTACAGAGTACCTGAACTGCCAGAACTCTTTCTGGCTGGGATTAAGGGTCTTGTGTTTTAAAGACCAGGTGTTCCCTCGGCTGTTTCCCATCCAGACATCATAGCCAGCATCTGCGAGGAGGAAGCCCAAGCTGTTGTTGGGCAGGTTAGAAATCCAGTGGGTAGCGTCTCCTAGAAAAGCATGCTGTAGGAAGACTACAGGCTTTTGCCCTGGAAAAGATGAAAGTATTCTTAATTTGGAGCAGTAGTTAATGTGTATTTAAGATTGGGGTGCAGAGTTTAGTTTGTGAGAGATTTTAAATCTTTCCTTCTTCAAGAAACTCCCAGGAGAACTATGCACAGATATTAGTCTGAGAAACCTGAAGGGTTTGTTCCATGCAAACAGGAACCGTTCATGACATTTCATAACCATTTCGTGACAGGACTGGCAAACAAAGAGTTTAATGAGGAGGCCTGTCTCCATCTCCTCCTGCACTGGAAAGTGAACTTACAGGTCCCTATATTGAAACCACCTACCCATAGCTGAAAACTGCTGAAGGCATAACAGTGTATGGAAGACAAAGAATAATTCATCCAGAGAAGCATATCTACCCTTAGGTCTATTCACTAACCAACTGAGCAGAGCTGAGAGGCCCCTGGTCTAACTTTGCTTAACCTTACTTTGAGAGAGAGTCTGGTGGAGATGATCTCAAAGGAGGAGATCCAAATAGGAGAAGGCATCTAAAACAAATTATTCTATACTTCTAACAAGGAGTAATAAACAAATTAGCAGTATTCAGGGTATCTTGAATTCCAGGTAGAAAATTTTATTCCATTCAGAAAATTTGATGAAACAGATGAAATGCATTTGCTTTTCATTAATGACCTGGTTTCTCATCACCTTCCTTAAGAATATTTCTGTCCTTCAGAAGGCTGGGAATTAATATTCACATGCCCAACCTGAGAGGCTTTGTTGTCAGGCTTCTGCTTTAAATGTATATTACCAAGAGTGTTAACATAAAACCTCCCCAAATTCAGTCTACCAAACCCTCCCCCAGCCCACATGAGGGAAAAAACCTGGGATATGACAAAATTATTAGAAAAGTCTGAAATAAGGACAGAAACACTGAATGTGTGAACTTCAGATGGATTCAGAATTCAGGCCACATTCCTGCCTAGGTGCTTTTGCTGAGATGGAAAGGTGTGGAACATGCTGTTGCATGTGCAAAGGGGAAAGATGGGGGACTCATGTAAGAGTTGGCTCTGACTTTCCTTATGTTCTGTAACTGTGTCACACCTGTCTTTTGGCTGTTCCTCCCAGCAGGAATTCTGAAAACACCAAGAATGTATCCGTCCTCTGTGGTTACTTGATATTCCTCACTGGGGTATCCATGATATCTGATAATTTCACTCTGTGGGAAGCCAAAGAAGAGTTTGTTAACAAGAAAGTTGTCCTGTTTTGGAGGGTAACCAAGCTGAGCACTGTGGATGTGGGCTATTCTGTGATGGTAGCGCAAGGCCCCTGGTCACAGGGACCATGGCTGAGAATAATTATTATAAATCTTGTAAAAAGATGCATCAAAGTCTTCTTCAGACCTACTTAGGTGGTAGTTGTCTCGTAGTTGACCCCATGTTATGGGACAAAGCAGAACTGTATTGAGCGACTAACCTTTTGGGAGATAGTTTGTCATGTTTTGGAAGGCTGATACAGATCATACCTTTCTACGGATTAAATACATAGCAATATCTGTATAAGACAGCGCCAAAAGCTGTGGGTTTTGGTCCATAATGAATCCTTTTCTTGCCAAAGTGTGATTAGGCAAGCCGTGAAAGCAAGGCAAACAAGGGTGGAGCTCTTGTCGCTAAGGAACTCATGAGACCACCTACACCTAGTTTTGCATGTACTGTGAGGAAATCTTTGGTGATTCAGGGCAAGGCATCTTGGATTACTTTATGTTGTGAGAATCTGCAGTTTGAAGAAGGGATGCATCCTCCCTTGCCACTGTACTGAGTAAAGAGGTTGTTACAGAAAGGGAGGACTTTGCTTCCCTTGAGACTAGAACCAGCCTTCGCCTCCACTGCACAGGAATTCTTCTCTCTGACAGCTCGGACTGTTTGGATAGGACCATCAAGGTTTCTTCTAGGCTGACGCTCCCTATCATAGTGCTGGAGGGATCTTTGTCCTCTTGCCAGGTTCTCACTCTTCACTTCTTTGTGTGGTAGCCCAAAATACCAACATGTGTTGAGAAAGGTAACTGCAAACAAGTGTCATCAGGCACGGCCCAGCCTTGTGCTCATCATATATGTGTTGGGGTTCATCCTAAATGCAGGCAGTGAAAGTCTTTTGTTCAGTTTGGTATGGACCGCAGTGTGTAGTCTGTGCTCTGGCCAAAAACCTGGGCTGAGTCCTGTTGCTGGGGTCAAAATACAGCAGCCTGGATCTCCCGTGCCCCTTAGGAGGTTCTGGGCAGTTGCCTGGACTTGGAGCCAAAAGTAGCAGCCAGCACTCTCCATTGCAGTGCTATGTGTCTGTCCTCATGCAATGTGGAAGAGTCGCATCTGTCCCTGGCACATCCACAGCTGGCCCTTGTTGCAGTGATGACTTTAATGCAGTAGTTTTGGAAAAGGCAGGTTGGGAAAATGGGAAATATGGAAGGGGCCCTTCTTAGCCTCCTAACAGGGACTGTTAGTGATGGGGCAGTGGTAGTGGTACATGGAGAGATACTTTAGAAAGAAAGAGAGAGAAAGTGACCCAACTTACAACATTCATAAAGCATTCGGGGTTGCGGGTCTTCCTGAACTGACTTGTATCTGAATTCAGTGTAGAGGGTGTTGTGAAGCCTGCTGAAAAGGCAATTCCTTGGGAGCAGAGCAGCAGGAGAAGGCACCACATCTTGGGGCTGTGTGAAAGAGCACATGTAGGGGTGTTTCTGTTAGGAAGAGAGTGCTGTGGAATTCTACAGGAAGATCCAAGTGGGGAGTCTCCTGAAGGTTGCCCAAGGTCTGTTCCCCAAGGGTCCACCAGAATAAGTACCTGTGTGAGGAGGGACTATCCACAGCTCACGCTGTGTAACAGAGAGGATTGCAGAAGAGGTGAGGAAAACACTTGAGCATACCGTGCGAGAATATGCCTGAGCAGTCTGCAGATGACAAGGGAGCTGTGGTTGGTAGATGGGGCCAGCTTTTGTCATAAGTCTAGCAGAAGCTTGACAAAAAAGCATGAGTACCTGAGGTGACCATCACCTGGCTTGTCTTCCTTTATCTGCCTCCACTTCTCTGCCAGCAGGAGACATGAAAGCAGAAGAAAGCACTGCTTGTTTCCTGTCTCCTCAGGAAAGAGGTGAGAGGGGTTTGGGATGGGCTCTCTTTCTACCTGCCCTCTCTTCCTTTGGGATCAAATGCCATTCTTTGTACAAGTCAGTGGTGTGCTGGGGTGAGGGATCAGTCAATGAGGCTCGTGAATGGTTGTGGAGGGCCTAGGAGTGATTCAGGGACTCTGGGAGAAAGTGTAACAGGCTTAGGGGAACACGCTTGCATGAGATCAATGCCAGCTTGTGCTTTCATTATTGGGAGATGTGCCCCAGACCAGGTTCAAGTTCTGTTTGAAACTGGTTCTTCTGAGAATATACTCACCACAAGGTGAGCATGAGTGGCTCCCCTGAAGCCCTGTGAGTCAAACCTTACCTTTTAGGCTGAAACTGAATCATCTAGGTCTCTATTTACCACCCCCTTGGGCTTTTTCACTGGCCCCTTGCTGCTCACTTCTTCCAAGAACCTGCTCTGCTATCCCCAGATAGTTGCATTTTTCTTACTGCTACTTCTGAGTCCAAAGTTTCTGTCTCTCAAAACTGATGGCTGCCACCAACCAAGAAACCATGCAATAGTTTGGTTCTAGAGCAGTGAACAGTAGAACCTGAGACTGCCTTCATGTTGCCAAGGGCCTGCCTCTTTTATCTCTTAGAAATGGCTGTCCATATTGCAAATCTTGTCTTGGTCATGGGGAGGTAACACCTTGCTCTTTCTTGGGTTGATTGATGGTACCAGATTAGCTTTTCTGAACAGAAATTGCAGAGTGCAGTCTATTTAGAAACAGTTTATGCCAACTCCACCTACAGTAGATATGCTTCCAGGTTTTAGTCTTTATTTTCCAGAACCCAGTCAATGAGTGCAGGAGCACTGCTCTCTGTGAAATTCCCAGAGCTTTTTTTCAACATGCGAATTTTGACTCAAATGTTCTCTTGAAAAGGGAAGAGCAGGTTCTGTATCACAGAAAGTTACTGGGTATAGGACTATGGATTAAAAATGTTTGGATAGCAAGAGAAGTGATGACACATTCAGTGCTCTTTGCCTGCAAGAGAGCTGCAAGCAGGTAGGATAGGATTTTTCTTTCCAGTCTGAAGAACGGTAGAAAAAGGATTCATCCATGAAGCTCAGGACTGTGCTTACACATTCTGGAAAAGCCCTTAGACATCTAATTCTTGTTGTATGCTGTGCCTTCATGTGTGAGGAGAGAATGAGGGCTGTGAAGACAAAAGAGAAAAGTAGCAACCACTCTGCCTGTGGATAAAGACCATAAAGATCAGGCAGGCTACTTAAATGTTCAACAATAGAAACCAAGGGACAAAAGGGACATGTAATACAATGTAAGGCTTCAGCTCATCAAGGCGTCTTGTAAGATTGCCTCACCAGTAATGACTGGGGACATTACTGCTCTTGTAGTCTTGGTTTCCTCAGAAGAAGGCATGCTTTTATGACCACAGTGTGTTTATGTCAGTTCACCTTCCTGTCCATCCTGTAATTAACTTTTGGTGTCATTGGTAAACATCTGTCAAGTTCACCACTGAGATACAAGCCTGTAAGGTAATGGTGTTTGCAGGAGCTCCTGAGGATTGTTTGCTGGGGAAGGACTATTCAGTGGGGTTACTGCCTTGCTAGGGGCAAGACAGGCCACAGCAGCTGCTGTATATTCTACAACCAGCTAAGCAGTCAGCAAGAGTGAACCAGCCAACTAGTCAGTGTCCGTGTAGCTTCAAAGTAGCCGCCGCATGCATGGCTGGGCATCAGGGTTTGCGAGAGAGTTTCGTAGGAGACCTGCCTGTATTATAGTTAGCATTAGGAAGTTAAGCAGACTCGGGAAACAGGTCTGTCTGAAACCAGGCATTGCTAGGTCCACTAGACATGGAGAATCCAATTCTTAATGAAGAACAGAGATTCTCATGCAGCCACATGTTTCTGGAGTCTGCTGCTAGAATAAGACATCTGCTATGACAAGACATGCTGCTCTATGAAGCTTATTTGGACTTGGAAATGGAGCTACAGATCAAGAGAGAATAAGAGAGTATTACCTGGCAACTAAAGGGGAAGATGAGCAGGATTTGTGAGAGGGACAGGTAACCACAAGATTTTTGCACTCTGTAAATCTCCTTACAGGAGAAGGAGTTTTGACTACTTCTCATCTTCAATTTAATCTTCAAATTTGACTGAACAAATTTAAAGAACTCAAACCTCATGACTCATCAGACAGTTGGAATGAAGCAGCATTTGGAAACACCCAAAACTTTAAACTTGGCATCAAAACACACTCAACTCGATTCCATTTGTATATCAAATACTTCTTTTTATTCTCAAAACAGGAAGCCTCACAACTACATATTCAGTCAGCACAATGCTCTTTTTTGCTTTCTGCTGTTTTACTCTGTTCTAATGGGAGTAAAATATGCCTCCCTCTCCCTGCACAGGGAATCTTATTTGGGAAGAAAAAGTTCTGCTAATGTCTCAGCTTGTTTTCAAACCACTATCAAAACTAGTTGAGGCAATGCAGAGGCTAAATTATCCCTCTTGTTAGGATAAACTTTTCTCAACGCACGCTATGATCACCTGGTTTAGCTGGCGTGGCTCATGGACTTCCAGGTATTCGCCTTTTAAATCAGATACAGCGGGCTAAGTAATACCAATCTTGGCAGGCCACTGCTCCCTTAAGCTTCAGGAATGAAGACAGTTAGGAGACATGAACAGCTGTTTTTATCTAGTGAGATGAAGTCATAAGGAAATATTGGGCATGGTAAACTGTCATAAAAGAACATAGTTAAAAGGAAAAAAGGTCAGAAAGAGAAATACCCTTGAAAGTTCTTTAGGTACTTTTAAGATTTAATGAAACTAAGATGCAAGCCCTTCAGAAATTCACCCATCTATCCTTGTAATTTAAGCAGTCTAAAATTTATTTCATATAAGCTGTAAGGCATACACACTCCAACCAGAGAAGCAACTGGTACTAAATGTATACGAGCCTTACTCACTAACAAAACATACATGCGCATTACACTGCAAGATCAGGAGGTCCAGGTTACACATACTGATGTAATACTGGGACTTTCATTCCTTTGTTCTCAGACTGAAGAAAACAAGTAGAAGAAAATTAAATAGTTGCTCTTTTTCTTCCTTTTCTGCAGGTCAAACTTCTTTGTCTTCTAACAAGCAAACACACACTTCTGTGCATAGCAATAGGCTTACAGATTAGAGAGGCAAAAAGCTGTCTATTCTTACAAGCAACTGCACAAAACCAAGATTGCACATCTTTATGGAGACAGGCAACAGAGAAAAAGACCGTGAACACATATGTACAAGCAACTTACCTCTGCTTTGCCTGCCTTGCTTGTGTCTTCTGCCGCAGTTCCTGGTCTGTCTCCACTAGCAGACTGATTCACTGACAGAAGCCTGCGCCAATAAAAGGAAGTCAAAACACAATGAGCACTTCAGCCGTGAGGGTCATGAGTTGGCAGCATGTATTGTAGAGCGTGTTTAAGTACTGATTTGGCAGTGCTTCAGAAGTGGGGAAATCTTTGTGATGAAAGAAGTCTTCTGGTTAAATTCACAAACCCAAAACGCACCTGGGAGCGGGAGAGTTTAAGAAGCACCTACAAACCAGTGTTTAGGACATTTAGCTGAGACCTGGGTGTTCCATCTCCCTGAGGCTGTGGCAGACCTTGACCTGTACTGTTGCCCAACTGAAGGACTGCTCTGAATGTAATCTTTTAGGATGAAGAGGAGGAAGTGTCCAGCTTCTCTCAACATACTCTCTCAAGAACTTTGCCTCTGCTATTGCTTTTCATTTGGTTTATGTTAACTTTGAGTTTAACATTACAGACCATCCTAAAGTCTGTTTTTCAGTGAGCAGCACAACTCATGAAACTCATCTTATTCGACATTAATTGCTCGGAGTTGACTTGGTTTCTGTAGGGAACCTCTGGTGCCAGAGAAGGCTTGAACACATCATATAACCTTTCTCCCAGTGAGGGAAGAAATAAGAGTTCTTGCCTCTCCCAAGCCATTATCATCAACTTTGAAAACATAGTATCTTTGGATATCCTTGCTTAACTGCTGAATGAGTTGTATTCAGCCTAGGGGCTCAGTCCTTACTGAAATTGGCTTGGTGATCATGGTCAGAAGGACACATTCTGTGTCCTTAGGCAGCTGGGCTACAAACAAAGTAGAATCCTCCTATGTGAGGACCAGCTTTTCAGCCAATTAACTCATAAGTGTCTTCAGAAGAAATTGTGTTTCATCATGGGCTGATGAGCATTTAGAAGAACACCAGATGAAAGGGATGGGTTCTTGAAATCACCATTGCAAATAATATGATGCCTGTGGGTGGTGGGGGAGGGAACACAGTGAAATAAGAACAGGATGTCAATGAAGCCACAGTAACAGTTACGCTTTACATACAAAGTAGAGAACATAGTTTGGGATGGTGAGGAAGGTAATTTGGTAATTTCTCAGTGAAGAAGCATTGTAACTCAGCTGTTCTAATGTCTCTAAGTGACAATAACTTTCATCAAACCATACATTAATCACTCAGAAGGGCTTCTGCAACATGGTGTCTAGTCCCTCCTGGTG